TTTTAGGTTTTAGGCAAAATATGAAGCAGTTAGATCGTTAACAGTATGAATATTTATTGCTTTGCGATTTAACGTATGCATTTGTGTTGGCAACATTTTTCCCTTTTCATGTGTTCGGGAGGAGTTTGTATAGGCTGAAACAGCACTGTTGCACTGCGGGGCCGGGTGAAATCTTAACCTCCAGCATGTATGAACGTCGTAGATTTGGCATGGAAGGGAATGATCATGGTTGGTCATGCACTGGAAATGATCAGGATGTTAGGAAGAAGGATGACGAAATTCCGCAAAATGCCCTCACTTTTGTGGCTGCTGTAAAATTGAGTACTTGTCATGTCCACGTGCAGGGAATTTAGTCCCCAAACTGAACATTCTACAGGTCGCTTATCTGGCAGAGGATTTGATTGCTTTTTGAGTAAAAACGGAGGGTGGGAAGAGGGGGGAGGGAGTGGCGAAAACTTTGCTATCCATTGCAAATAGGTCATTAAAGAAATTTCACTGAAAGGGCGAAAAGTAAATATTTGAATCAGTGTATAAAAACGCATAGTATTGTGATAAGAGGTGTTCGGCATTGGGGCATGCAGGAACGAAATGTTGAAACAGATGGTTCGGTTTTCCATACTTACGAATGTTACTGACGTGGTCCAGCCGCGGTATTAAGCTAAGACGTATATGACTTAATGGACCGAGACGTCTTAACTCATTAATACTTAGTTCTTTCACACTAACTCTATTTCCACATCCATCCATATTTAGTTCGCTCCATTTCTGTCCTTCCTAATCTTCTAAATCTACCCGCATGCTACAATCAAGCTACAGTTAGCTTAACAAGGAAGTTTGTGGAGTTTAGGACAATTTTGTTTTGAACGCTGTGATGTCTGAAGTAAAACGGGCAAGAGAAATTCCCCCGGGACTGTATTACTTCTATCTTAGTTGATTTGTTTTTTTTTTAAAGCACAAACAATGATGCTGAATTGAGATTCAACGGTTGTTTTTGGAAATGAAGTTGCTGTTTCACGGCGCATGGCTTTTGCTGCTGACCGCACGGGGTCTGAAAGTACTTTTGAGACTGGGAAGAGGTGTTCCTTTACTGATAATTGACTTCGTTTTGTTCGCCGCCAGCCGTCGGCTTAACGCTGTTCTACCTTGCATCCTAGCGACTATCTTGATACTTCAGCAAACTCAATAAACCGAAAAGTGAAGAGTTTTTGGAAATTTCGATCGACTTTATTTGTTTAATTGTCTAACGCCCCAATTAGGTATCGTATTGCGGCGCATCTTTGGTTTTTTGACTTTTAATACTCACGTCCAGGCTAATTTTACAATTAAAAGGCGAACCAAACATTCGAAATTTTCTCGTTTCATTTGTAGCAAAATGAGAATAAAATGTCGGCTGGAATCAGTTTTCAAATTCTCTTGTGTGCTACGTCACATTCAAAAACGAGCTGAGATTATAACTGCTCGGTAAAGCATGCCTTGCACATGAAATTTCCGTGTTTTCATGTCGATTAATAGATCAAAAACCATCGGCTTTTGTATTGTTTGTCACCAATGAACATGCGACAGCTTATCGCTAAAACGTAAAATCGTGTTGACTCTCGTTGCATTTAGGTTTTCAAATTCACATTTTATTCAGTCATCAAGCAGGGCATACGTATACTTACATGCACCCATGTCCTACGCTTGGTACATAAGAAGCGAAACACAAAAGACACAAAAGCACTGGCCGTGCGCTTCCAGTGACTAATATTATAGATGCATGCTCGTGCTGACTTGTTCATTACGCGCCGTAATATTTCGCCTGTACAATTTTCTGGGCATGTTTTTTTTTTTCAAGTTTATAGATGCTTGATACGTTAAAAGAACAGTTCACCGGCAAATTGTTACGTGCGGCTGTTTGGGCCACTGATGACCCTAAGTCGTTCTTCCTGATGCTTGCTGTTTGCATGACGCCTTTTCTGTTGCTCAGTGCTTTGCTATCGTGGAAACTCCGCGGCGCCATAAAGGTATCGCTTTGTTCTGATTTTTTTTTTTTTGAAACAGTTAGCAAATTTGTTTGCAAGGTCGTGAAACCCCTGGAACTGCGGTAGAATGATCACATTTAAAACTTATTGCCTTTTTCTCATGCATTTTTGCAAGTGCTTGTGTAAGAAGTGCTTGTTTTATTTAAAAAGCTGACATTTTTAAAATCAGTTAATTTGCAAAAGAGAATTGCCACGGTTTTTGCTTCAGAACGTTTGGTTCGGCCTCTCAACGGCGGAGAAAAAATTTTTGGTTCGGTTGCCTCACTTGGACCGTCCATTTTTCATTCGACCATCTACTGGTCCATACATTAGTTTAACATCTCTAGATTATTACAGTTGGGTAAGAAGTTTTTGAACTGTATATTTTATACTGACACGCATGGTACTGAAGTTTTTATTACCACCCCTCGACTACCACAACCCTGATATTCCTAATTGAAATGACCACTTCTTGGTCAGACCTCCATTGGCTCCTTCTTCCCTTTCTGTTTCGTATGTTTCAGGAAGAACGCAGACGTAAAAAGCTTTCGAAAAGCAGTTCACGCAACAAAAAAAGACAATAGTCGTTTAGTTTTTTCCCCCGTTACTTCATCCTCCAGGATCGAATTGTGTGCGATGCTGTTGTATATTACTGGAGTTATTAAGGACAGTGAACTGGGAATTTTTCTGTGCATCTTACGTTCGGTTATAGTTTAGTGACAGATGAAGGCAGTCTTACTGAGTGAAAACTAGAAATAGTGCTTGTTTTAAGAGAAAAATATATAAGCCGAGGTTCGAAATGAGTTCCATCCTATACTGTGTTCCTCCAGCCCTCCTTCAGCACAGATTTACTTCGGGAAAATTCTACTTTTCCGCTCAATAACTGCCCTTGTAAGTTAACTACATCAGCAGAAATCATCGTTTTACATATTATTACT